TTTTCACTAGAGTAGACGCAGGTGGCTGGATGAAAGTATACTCTACTGCGATGGGGAGAGGCAGGAGAATGATGCATGAGCATCCCTACAAAACTTGGGGGGCAGGATGGTTGGACAAACAGCTCAGTTATCTGGGGAAAGGAGAAGCAATATTCCTCCAGCTGTTTCATCCACCTGAGATGCTCACAGAAGAGCAAACCAAGTCCTGGCCACTTCTTCATTAGCATGTAAGCCCTTTGAGGGCAGGGACCTAACACAGGGACTTGCGGTTTTTATTTTTGTGTGTATCCTTAGGGCTTGGCACATGTCAAACCCCAAATTCACTGTGGTAAATTCACAGAAATGGAAACCCGAGTCTCAGTTGCTGGAGGTCACTGGGGTCAGGGACCGTTTTTTTACCTTTCTTTATAATGTTAGAGCTCAGCACAGTATCTGGCACATGGCAAATACTTCCTGAACATTTACTGACCGAGGGACAAAAGGGGGTGATGGAGGATCTGATCAATCAATGTTTGTTAACCACTCTGTGCCCAGGCCCTGTTCCTAAGAGCAGGGTCTTTGGGGAGAGGGGAGTGGAGTGGGCAGTGGCTCTAGCCACGGACCAGGCCGGACTGGGCGTTTTTAAACACTTTCCATGGATTCCTTTCCTCGCTTCTGACTCCCCAAGGGGTTTGGTTTTAAAAAGATCATCTTTCATTTTTTCATCGCCAACACGTCCCAAGATGTCTCTCCCCTCACTCCCCCTGAGAGAGCCAGTCTCCTGATTATTTTCTGTTAAAAAAAGAAAAAAAAAGGTAGAAAGAGTCTTGAGCAGAGCGGCCCAGGCTGCCAGGTTGGGGAGGATGCCTCCTCCAGGCAACACCATCCCCTGTCCTGCAGGAGGCGTCCTCAAGGGAAAATGTCCTCGTGGACTTTCTACTTTGGGGAAATCAGCTTCGGTGCTCCCCCTCAGTACTTCCTGGGCCTCTGGGACACCGGCTGCAACCACCTGTGAGTGCCCTCCACCTACTGCCAGCCCAGGCCTTCGGTGAGTGCCCCGCCTGGGGAGGGTGAGGGGAAGGTGAGGGGAGAGAGGGAGGGAAAGAGGGGGAGAGGAGAGAAGAAGGCGGGAAAGGGGGAGGGGAAGGGGAGAGAAGGAGGAGGGGAAGAAGGGAGAGAGAGAAGGAGGGAAAGAGGGGGAAGGAAAGAGGGCAGACAGAAGGAGGGAGGAAAAGGGGGAGGGGAGAGAAGGAGTAGGAGAAGGGGGGAGGGGACAGGAAGGAAAGAGGGGGAGGGGAGAGGAGAGGGGAGAAGGGAGAGAGAGGGGAGAGAGAGAGTGAGGAGAGGGGGACGGGGAGGGCACAGAAAGGGAAGAAGAGAAGAGAAAGGGGGAGGGGTGAAAAGGGGAAGAAGAAAGAAGGGGGAGGGGGGAGGGGAGAGAAGAGAAAGGAGGAGGGGGAAGAAGGAGAAAAGGAAGGGGGAGGGAGACCTTCCCTACCCACCCATGAGGGTCTCCCTGGATGGGGCTGCCCTACTGGGCTCCCCTCCCCCATCCTTCCTCCCTCCCTTCAGTTAGCCTTGTTACAGTGACCCCTGTGTCCTCTGGGAGACAGGAACCCAGGCTGGCTCTCAGGATCAAGGCAGGGTCACAGGCCTTGGAGCCAGAGGCCTCCCCTCTCGACCTGCTCCGCCCGGAGGCCCAGGCAGGCTGGGAGGTGCACCGCCCTGCTCAGCCAGGAAGAAGACTCTCTGTGGGTGGGCGAGGCTCTGGGCCTAGACCAGGGAGGGAGAAGAAAAGCACATGGAAAGCCAACAAGGGGCTCCCCTAGCTTGGGGAGCCCCCGGTCCAGTGATGGGGAGGCCCTGTGGGCATGAGGAGTCAGTGAGCTCTGCCCCAGGACCAGTGCCAAGCAGTGGGAGCCCCCAGTCCCATCGGGTCTGTGCACAGACTGCATGACCTCAGCAGGGAGGGCCAGCAGGCCTTGAATGAAAGGGTTTTGTATGGGAGGTCATCTCAGAGAAAAGGCCCTAGCCCCTGGGGGTGGGGGGCAGGGTGGGAGTATGGGAAGGGTCTCCTGCTGAAGATGGGGTTGTGAGGAGGGGAAGCACTCCAGGCTGGAGGAAGGCCAGCAAAAATCCTGCCCCTTGGGATTGAAGAGAAGAAATGATTAAGCTCAATGCCAAGCACACAGAAGGTGCTTAATAAATGCTTATTGACTGCTTGACTTCTTCACGGAACAAGGAAGGCTGGTGTTAGTGGATCAAAGACTCTGTGGAACAGGGTGGTGTGTTGGGAGAAAAAGACTAGAAAAGAGGACTGGGTTACTAAAGGGCTTTGAATGCTACATTCAGAAGATGAGGATTTAGTTCAGTGCTTGGCACATAATAGGTGCTTAATAAATGCCTGCTGACTGACTGACTTGTTCAGGAAACAGTAAGAAGGCCCAAGCACAGTGCTTGGTATGTAGTAGGCGTTTAATACATGCACACTGACTTGTTCAGGAAGTAGGAAGGAGACCCGTGCACAGTTGCTTGGCATACAGTAGGCACTCAATAAGTGCTTATACACTGCTTCAGGAAGCAGGGTGCCCTCCGCCCAGGAGATGCCCACGCCTTCCTCTGTGTCTCTGCAGCCAATCACAATAGGTTCAGCCCCAGCCAGTCGCCCACCTTCTGCGGGGGTGGGGGAGGGCAGACGTACACGCTGGCCTACGGGAGCGGAAGCCTGACGGTGGTGCTGGGCTACGATGCCGTGACCGTGAGTAGCCCCGCCCACGCTCACTTAGCCAAGGCCACGGTCTCTGCTGCGAATCCTGCTGCCCCCTAGGAAGTGCGAGTGCAAGCGCAGAACACCTTGGAAGGCGGGGACAGCGCTCCGGCGACTTATAAGCTGTAGGGTTCCGGGCAAGTCAGTTAACCGCTAGCTGCCTCAGTTTCCCCAACAGAAAGATGGGGACCACAGTGGCACCAACCTCCCACGGTTGTCGAGATTCGAATGAGGCGTGCTTAGCACAGAGTGGGCACATTGATCGCCCCTTCCCCCACCTTTCCATGATGAGAAAGCAGTCCGTCCTGAGACGTGAATCATGGGTTCTTAGAAGTCCAAAGCATTGTGGAAGTCACCTAGTCCGGTGATTCGAGGATTCCTTCTTCGGCATCCTGTGCAGGTGGCTTTTTAAAATTTATTTTTGTTAGATGTTTTTTAGTATCCAGGAAAGGTAGTTTAAAAAAAAAAAGAATTGTTTTTTATTTATGTCTTTCAGCATACATGACAGATTTTTAAAAAAATTTTTAAAAAATTGATATTTTTCAGATATTACCCAGGAGAGGAATTTTTTTAAATTTGATTTTTTATTGATATATTTTAGCATCCATGACAGGTTTAAAAAAAATTTATTGCCATTTTTTAGCACCCAGGAAGGCATTTTTTTTAAAGATGGTTTTTTATTGGTATCTTTCAGATATCCAGAACAGATTTTTAAATCTTATTTATTTATTTATTTGTTTGTTTTATTTAAAAAATTTTTTTTCCATATGCTTTTGAGTTGAAAATTTTTCTCCCTTTTTCTCCCCCCCCACCCTCCCCCAAGATGGCGCACAATCTGACATAGGCTTTACATTTACATACCCATTAAACATATTTTCACATTAGTGAAGTTGTAAGTAAAAATTAAAACCAATAGGAGGAACCATCAGAAAGATGAAACAAAATTCAACTTAAGGTAAAATTAAGTGAGAGCGATTCGACTTCCATAGTTCTTTCTTTGGATGTGGACAGCATTTTCCATCCCGAGGCCTCTGGAGATGTCTTAGATCCTTGTAATGCTGAGAAGGGTTCAGTTTAACATTCTTAGTCATTGCATAACGTGGCTGCTATTGCATACAAAGACCTCTGGGTTCTGCTCACTTCACTCAGCATCAGACCATATAAGTCTTCCCAGGTTTCAGAACAGATTTTTTTAAAAAATGATTTTTATTGATATCTTTCAGCATCTATGACAGATTTTTAAAATTGATTTTTATTGCTATCTTTCAGCATTCAGGACAATTTTTAAATTGATTTTTTTTATTGATATCTTCTTATTTTTATTGGTGTTTTTTGTTTAGATCATCTGCATTTCAATATCTCCCCCTCCCCCATTTCTCTCCTAGAGCCATCTCTTTTTTAAAATTTTTAAAATTTTAAAATTTTTTATTTTATTTATTTATTTTTACCAGAGCCATCTCTTATAATGAAAAATTAAAAAAGGAAAAAAACCCACCTAACTCACTGAAACCAACCAACATATTGAAAAAGTCTGACCTTACATGCAGTATTCCACACCTATACTTTTCCAACTCAGCAAAGAAGTGGGATGGGAGTGGTCCAGGCACTATTTGCACATTTTTTTCTATCTTTTAGGCATTCTGTTCCGTGATTGGACAACTCTGTTAGATAATTCGTAGTGTGGTGGACGCAGGGGTGTGCTGGTGAATGTTTAATAACTGGCTCTCTGGAAAAAAAAAGTCTGCACAGCACACTTTTAAATTTAATTTGCCTTACCAATATTTTCCCCATCACTTTCTTAAGTGTCAACAATCAACAAAACAATAAATCACGTGTAGCATCTGCCCTCCCCAGATGTAAATGCTCGCAGTGAAAATTTAACAGAGTTGGTGGTTCTGAGCTGGCTCTAGCACTCCTTGTGATTTCATCAGATCTGGAAACTCTGCTAGGGCAGGTCAGCGATTTATTAATTGATAGTCTAACAGTGTGTCTGGGTCACTGAGAAATTGGATGGATGGCCCATGGTCACATAGGTTGTATACTTTGGAAGCAGGACCTTATGAGCCCTGGCTTGCCTCAATCCAAGGCCAGCACTTAGTCCAATATACTACCTTGTCTTTCAGACACTCCTCATATTAAGTAAAAATCTCCCCCTTCTGCTCGCTGGCCCTAGTTCTCCCTTCTGGAGAAGCAGAATTTCTTCATATGATGGTACAAGTCAGGTGACTTCAGATATTTCAGTTTTTCCCCCCTTAATCTTCCCTTCCCTAGAGTTTTTTTTTTAAACTATTCCTCATAGGATCATGGACTTAGAGCCGGCAGCAACTTTAGAGGTTATCTGTTATTCTAACCCAGTCTCCTCATTTTACAAATGGGTAAACTGAGGATCAGAGAGCAGAAATGGTTTGGCCAAACCTGGGTTTGGCCTGGGTTTAAATTGTAGTTCTTGGACTCCAAAACAAAAGCTCTTTCTATCACATCTTAATCTAAAATCAGTTTGATTTGCTAGAGTCTCACAGCTGAAAGTGAAATCATGTTATCAGGCTTAGAGGGCAGGTATAAGTCAATTGGTCCTTCTCTGCTCCATCCTGCGGGGCCACATCACAAATGGTCAGACCCAAGGTCAGCTGTGGTCTAGCTGAAAGAGGCCACAGGCATAATGCTTCTGATTTTCTCAGGTCTCTTGAGGTTTCTAGCCTCCCCTTCTGGACATGGGCTTTAGTTAATCTTCTGTTCATTAAGCTTTATTTGATTCCTCATAGACCCACTGGCTTCCTTTGCTTAACCATCCGGATTCTCTCTGGCTTCAGTGTCCTGAAGCTCATTTGTGGGGTGGGAGTTTCCAACCTGATTTGTTTGTGTCTCCCCAGGTTCAGAACATTGTTGTCTGTAACCAGGAGTTTGGCCTGAGTGAGAACGAGCCCATCAAGCCCTTCTACTGTTCTGACTTGTATGGGATTTGGGGCATGGCTTACCCAGCAATGGCTGTAGGCAGTTACCCAGCAATGATGCAGGGGATGTTGCAGCAGGGACAGCTCTCGGAGCCCATCTTCAGCTTCTACTTCTGCTGGTAACTCCCCTTCCCCCATGCCAGGCAAGCATTAAGGCTTGGAGGGCTGTGAGGACCTCAGTGTGCTCCAGGAACTTCTATTTCTCAGTCAGAAAGGCTGCTTGGTACAGTGGCTAGACTGCTGGACCTGAGTCAGGAAGATCTGTGTTCAAATCCTGCCTCAGACACTTCCTAGTCGTGTGATTCTGGGCAAGTCAGGATTTGGATCGAGATTCTGGAACTCCAAGTCAAAAGCTCTTTCTATCACATCGTGCCAATAGGCTTAGACTGAAAACAGTCTCATTTGCCCTAGAGTCTCACACCCAGAAGTGAAATCATGTTTCTTGGGGCTAGGCGGCAGATATAATTCAGCCTCAGTTTCCTCATCTTGGAAATGAGGATCATGATAGCACCTACCTCTCAGGGTTGTTGTGAAGATCAAATAAGATAACAGTTGTAAAGCATTTTGTAAACCTTAAAGCACTATGTGAATGCTATTATTATTATCACAAAAGGCTCTGACACTATGGGTGTCAGAATAAGACATGGGTGGCCTACATTTTACACAATAGTAAGTTTCTAAAAGTTGTATGTAAATTGAATGGAAATAACTTTAAATCCAACTTTAAAGTATAATTGGATGAATCATTTTGTAACATGAAAAAAAAAACTCCAAGCCTTTATAAAGTGAATCATTTTCTACTGATGATCTCATTGGTACACCTGGATTTTCATGTACTGGGTTTGCTTGAAGTGGGGCAAGCCTGTGGCTATTTAAAGGGAACTCAGAAGGAAGGGAGAAGTCTCCCAAATCTGACTGTGAACTCCATGTAGAAAATTGTTCTCCACTTGGCCTCGGCCTACCCCAAATGTGATCGTATCCATAGGGTCCCTATTCCTTTTCCCTGAGGTGTTTCTTGATAAGATACTCCTGGCCCAGGGTAGAGAGCCGGTAGGAGACAAGGTCAGTGTGAAGCCGTCAAGTCCTCTATGATACCAAGGGCAGACGCAGTCTATGAGGAGCACACTTGGAATTTCCATCAGTTCTAGCTCCAAGTGACACTGGAGGTGTTTCTCCACCTAGATCCCAGTCCCAAACATCCTGATATCAGCTTCAGGGACATCATTGGTGCCCAGGCCTGTTTCTTCTTTCCTGGGTCAATGATTCTTTGCTTTAACCCTGACTGTCTAACCTGTCTAACTCTGACCTTGGGCTTTCTAGCCAGCTAATGCCTAGTGAAACCCTCCTAAAGCCCCATGCCAGAGGAAGGGATCAGGCACCTGGACTCACCATATTCTTTCTCTGTTCCCAGTCAACCAATTCAGCAGTATTCAGGGGAGCTCATCCTCGGAAGTGTGGACCCTCAGCTCTACTCTGGTCAGATCACCTGGACCCCTGTGACTCAGGACATGTACTGGCAGATTGGCATTGAGGAGTAAGTCACCTCATTGATCTGTACAGAAGCCTGTTTCCAGGGCCATACCCTTATAAGAAACTGTCTTCTGGTCTCTTTAGTGCTTTGCAAACTTCCAGGTGCTGTATGATGCTAGTAATTATTATTTCCTGGGGGTGGAAGAAGGGGAGGTGGGGAATGGGAGCTTTTTTCTCCTCTGTCGTGGGGATGGTGGAAGATCCTCTTAAGGACTTCATAGCTCTTTAGTGAATTAAAGACTAAAGTGGGTCTGAACTGTTGGTCCGCTGACCTCTAACCCTTGAAATTACAATACTATTGGCAGCAGCATGCTGGTAAATGTTTAACAACCAGCTTTCGGGGGGAGGGGAATGTACATGACATACTTTTAAGTTTAATCTGCATTATTATAATTTTTCTCCATCACTTTCTTAAGTCTAGACAATCAGTGAAATAATCAAGCCCTGATTTATAGAGTTTGCTGATTTCTGAATCACAATTTCTGAATTTGCTCACACATAACAATCTGTAGCTGATTCAAAATGATTCCAGTACGCCCCTGGCTGGTCACCTGAATCTTTTTTTTTTAACCGTTCAGAAAAGTGATTTACTAAGAATAGTACAATACAAGGGCAGTAATTAGCTTACTAGGAACTCTTTCTCATAATACATTGGTTACAGAGACAACCATCATGAATAACTTTTTGTTTTTGCTTTAATCTGCATTCAGACTCCATAGTTCTTTCTCTGGATGTGGATAGCATTTTCCATCATGAGACCTTTGGAGATGTTTTAGATTATTGCATTGCTGAGAAGAGCTAAGTCTATCAACCTTAGTCATTGAACAATGTGGCTGTCACTGTGTACAGTGTTCTCCTGGTTCTGCTCGACTTCACTCAGCATCAGACCATATAAGTCTTTCCAGGTTTTTCTGAAGTCTGCCTGCTCATCATTTCTTATAGCACAATAGTATTCCATTACATTCATATACCACAACTTGCTCAGCCATTCCCCAGTTGATGGGCATCCCCTCAATTTCCAATTCTTTGCTACCACAAAAAAGCTGCTATAAATATTTTGGTACATGTGGGTCCTTTTCCCATTTGTGTGATTTCTTTGGGATACAGCCCTAGAAGTGCAATTGCTGGGTCAAAGGGTATGCACATTTTTATTGCCCTTTGGGCATAGTTCCAAATTGCTCTCCAAAATGATTGGATCATTTCCCAACTCCACCAACAATGTATTAGTGTTCCAATTTTCCCACATCTTCTCCAACATTTATCATTTTCCTGTTTTGTCATGTTGGCCAGTCTGATAGGTGGTCACCTGAATCTTGCCAAACCAGCAGGTTGATGTTCTTGGGCCTCTTGAATCTGGGTCCCTGCCTTAGCTTTTCTGAGTCTCAGTTTCCTTATCTATAAAATGGGAATAATAGTAATACCTGCTTTGCTTTACCTCAAAAGATTGTTGTGAGGCTCAAATGAGGTCATGTATGAGAAAACCCTTTAGAAACAGTAATACTTTTTATGATTGTAGTGTATTAAGCTTATGATTACCAACAAGATTTTAATCATTCTCAGAAATCTTGTCCGCAGAATCAAATCCAGACTCCTTTGCCTAGCATACAGGGATCTCCCAAACTCTTCCAGTCAATATGTCCAAACTTGTTTCCCATTGCTCCCCATCATGAGCTGTCCACTCATGGGCAGTTGGTCTTTTTACTGGCCTCACATCTTGCCACATCTTTCACTATTTCCATTCTTTCTACCAGAAATCCCCTTCTTTCTTCTCTCTATCTAACCACTTGTGCTCATCCTCGACAGGCTGGATCAGATCCCTCCTTGTTCACGAAGCCAACCCTGACCCAAGTTCTAATTCCAGTGTGGCCACTCAGGAGCCATGAGACCTGGGGCAAGTCACCTGACTTAGTCAACATTTTCCTGTCAGCAAAATCAAAGTATTGGACTAGATGCTCTCTAAGATGTCAAATAATTCTAAAATTCTACAGCTTTTTGACTCTGTGCCATCCTGGCCCATAATGACTTCTCTCTCCTTTGAATTACTCTAGTACTCATTTCCCAGTACTCACTCACTTGGTGCTTATTATATATTAGTTTAGTTGATGCCCTGTGTGTATATTGTCCTATTTCTCCAGCTGAATGGTAGGATTTCAGGACCTGCTGGGGTGGGGAAGGGATATGGCTTCTGGCCTGGTTCGGGTGTCTGCTGAGGAGTCTGACAGCTTTGGGTCTGGTCTCCCCTTCAGGTTTGTGATGGATAACCAGGCCACTGGCTGGTGTTCCCAAGGCTGCCATGCCATTTTGGATACAGGAACTATCCTTCTTCTAGCTGTTCCTCAGCAGTATATAAATTCCTTCCTGCAAGCAACAGGAACCCAGCAGGCTCAGAATGGTGACGTGAGTGACCAGAGGCTGAGGGCATCTCTGGAGGGCTGGCAGGAGCTGACAGGAGGAGCCTGGACTCAGCCTATGAAGGGTGGTGTTAGGGGTGAGGGGGCAGAAAACAAGAAGGGTCAAAGCAGAGGGGAGCCTTTCCGAGGAGAATGGATCTGCTCTTTGAGTGTGGAGCATTCCTGAATGGGCAGGAGCTACTGCTGAGTGCTACCTACCAGTATATGATGATGTAAAGTGCCAGATATTGGGCTTATCAGATGTAAAAATAGTCATCCAGGAGAGTGAGTGATCTGAGCCACACAGTCCATCCAAACTGACTGTAGAAATGAGGGGAGACAGAGAGAGAGAGACAGAGATGCAGATAGAGAAAAGGAGGGAGAGAGGGAGAGGACAGAATGAGAAATAGGATGGAAAGAAGGAGAGAGAAAAGGAGGGGTAAAAGGAGAAAAGCAGAGAGAAAGAAGGAGGAAAGAAGAGAGGGAAGGAGAGAGAGAAAGAGGAGGTAGAAAGGGAGGGAGGATGAGAGAGAGACAGAGACAGAGACAGAGAGAGAGAGAGATGTAGACAGAAAGGAGGGAGGGAGGGAGAGAGGGAGAAAGGAGGAAGGAAAAGAGGGAGAGAGGAGAGAATGATGAGGGAAGAAAGGAGAGAAAAGGAGGGAAAAGGAGGGAAAAGGAGAGAAGCAGAGAGAAGAAGGGAAGAAAGGAGAGAAGGAAGGAGAGAGAAAGAGGAGGTAGGAAGGGAGGGAGGATGAGAGAGAAACAGACAGACAGAGAGATAGAGATGTAGACAGAAAGGAGGGAAGGAGGGAGAGAGAGAGGGAGAGGAGAGAATGATAAAGAAGAGGGAAGGAGAGAAAAGGAGGGAAAAGGAGAGAAGCAGAGAGAGAAGGAGAGAGGGAAGGAGAGAGAGAAAGGAGGAAGGAAGGGAAGGAGGATGAGAGAGAGAGAGACAGAGAGATAGAGATGTAGACAGGAGGAGGGAAGGAGAGAGGGAGAAAGTAGGAAGGAAAAGAGGGAGAGAGGGAAGAACAAGAAAGAGGAGGGAAGGAAGGAGAGAAAAGGAGAGGGAAAAGGAGAGGGAAGAAAGAGAGGGAAGGAGAGAGAGAGAGAAAGAAGGAGGGAGGGAGGATGACAGAGAGAGAGAGAGAGAGAGAGAGAGAGAGAGAGAGAGAGAGAGAGAGAGAGAGAGAGAGAGAGAGAGAGATTAGGTAGTGCTAAGAGATTTCTTAATGCTACTGGGAAGTATGTTCCTTTTACCTCACAAAGATGGTGAGATTTTTAGACTAGAGAAGAGAAGGCTTTGGCAGAGTTGGATGAGAATGGAGGAGGGGGAGAGGGAGAGACTTGTCTTCACATATTTGAAGGGCTGTCATATGGAAGAGGGCTAGCCTAGTTCTGCTCGGCCCCAGAGACCAGAACAGGGGGGACTTGGAGGATTTTTGACTTACTCTAAGGGGAAGCTTCCTAACAATTAGAGTTGCCTAATGTGGACTCGAGGTCTTAGGAAGTCATGAGTTTCCATCCCCAGAAGTCGGTAAGAGAAGGCTGGACCACCTCTTGTTAGGGATCTTGTAGGAAGGATTTTTGCTCAGGGGCAGGTTTTTGTAGGCAGCCTCTGAAGAATCTTCCAGTTCTGAAACTGTGTAATTCTCAGGGCTGTGTTATTTTTGAAGCACGTGGCAGGGAAGGTAGCTAGCTGCTCCCCCACTCCATTCCTGTGGGAAGCCTGGGACCACCGAGTCCCTTCTGTAGACAATTATTTGTTGCTAGTTGAAACCTTGGTTTGCAATTACAAGGGCATAACCTTTTATGTGTCTGTCTATATTTGTACGTGATAGAGGTGATGTGAGTTTTGGGGATGTCTGAGTGTGCACTTCCATGGCCTTTTCTGTTTAAACTAGAGGTCTCTGAGGTCACACACTGCCCTTCTGTGTTTATGACAGCCTGTTTTCACACTCAAAAATTCCAGGATTCTGGCTGAGACCCTGTTTACAGATTAGAGGCAAAGAAAGCTCAGGGTCATTAGTCTTCCTATGAACCAACAGTATAGGTCAGTGATGGCTTTTGCTGAAGGTGCTGGGTGTGGGGGGATGGGGAATCTGACAGGATGACCCACAATGGGGGTAATGGATGGGTAGTGTCATACTCTGGCTCCAAGGCCCACATCTGCTCTGCTTATTCCTTCCGTAGTTTGTGGTCAACTGCAGCGACATCCAGGATATGCCCACCATCACTTGGGTCATCAATGGATCCCAGTTCGTTCTGCCTCCCTCTGCCTATGTCTTCAGTGTAAGTGTCCACCCCCGAGGCTTGTCAGGGATTAAGGAGGAGGGTGAGCCAATGTGACCCTCTTTGTGTCCCATACAGCATCTCGGCAGCTCTGGGGAATCGGTCGGAGGAGACTGGTTGAGGACAAACAAGGCCTCAGAGATCTAGTTAAGGGAGCCAAGGAATGGCGAAGTTCTCCAGGAAAGGATCCATGTTTGGTTAATTCTTTCTCTTTTCTCATTGAACAGGACAATGGCTACTGTGGGCTTGGGATCGAGGCCACCTATCTGCCCTCCACCAACGGGCAGCCTCTGTGGATTCTGGGTGATGTCTTCTTCAAGGAATACTATTCTGTTTATGACATGGCCAACAACAGGGTTGGCTTTGCCTATTCTGCCTAGACTGGAGGCCAGCTAGCCTCCTTTCTCTCTATCTCCTTTCAGGCTGCCTATGGAGACCGTCTGAAGTTTGCCCAGACGGGTCATGTTCCTCTCAGTGGTTTTGAATCCAGCATTCTCTTACCTAATGTAGTAAGATGTAAAACTTTAAATAACTTTGGCCTTTGAACAGGTCAGTTTACAGATTTAAATTCCAGAAGTATTTCTGAAATAAAGCCTTTCAGTTGTTCTAACTATGGGGTGATTTTCTTTTTAACCAGACTTGTGATTTAATTGGTTTCTTCCAGGTGAGGAAACTCCCTCCACTGATGTGGATTGGCATCTGTTTTAAAACTTATATCATGTGACTTTGGGCAAGTCATCTAAACTCCTTGGGTTTCAGTTTTCTCATCTGTAAAATGGGGGGGGGACTTGGAGTAGATCAGAGGTTCTTAACCTCAGATCTGTGAACTTTTAAAAACATTTTGATAACTGTATTCCAATATGATTGGTTTTCTTTGTTATCCTGTGTGTTTTATTTTATGCAGTTAAAAACATTTTTCCTGAGGAATCCATAGGCTTTGCCAGGCTGTTAAAGGGTTCCGTGGCACAAAAAAGGTTGAGAACTCCTGAACTAGATTATGAAGGCTTTCAGCTCAGTCAATCAATTAATAAACTTTTATTGAGCAGCTACTATGTGCCAGGCACTGTGCTGACACAAAAAGAGGCACAAAACAGCCCCTGCCCTCAAGGATCTTACAATCTAATGAGCTCTAGCTCTGTGATCCTATAATCATGTCTATCTTTGTATAGATACAGCTGGAGAGTTGCTTGGGGGGGAATTAAGGAGTTGAGTGACTTGCCCAGGGTCTTTTAGTATATTTCAGAGGCCAGACTTGAACCTTGACTCCTGAGCTGCCCCTCTATCTAATATGCCACACTATGTCTCCTAGGGCTAATAATAGTAAACAAGTCAATGTAGTAGACAGATTCATACAAGAGAGAGTCGTCATGAGTACCCCGATTTCCCTGCTCTCCTGAATCCTTGCTTGGCCTGCTTTGAGGAAAGGAAAGCCCCATGGACAGCCCTACCACAGGCAACCAGTTCCATCCAGGCGGCAGGTTAGTTGTCAATGGCCTATAGCAGGGGTCGGGAACCTGCAGCCTGGCCTCGAGGCTACAGGTGGCCCTCGGGGGCCTTGGGTGCAGCCTTTCCACTGAGTCCAAGTTTTACAGAACAAATCCTTTCATTAAGGGGATTTGTTCTGTGAAGTTTGCGTTCAGTCAAAGGGCCGCACTTAAGGACCTAGAGGGCCACATGTGGCCTCGAGGCTGTAGGTTCCGCACCCCGGCCTATATAGAAGGTAAGGGTAATATGGTTTTACCTTGGGATAGACAAGAAAAGCTGGAGCCTCTAGAACAGCCTGGAGACAATCAGATCTCAGGTACCTTTGAATCAAGGGTGAGTTAGAGTCGACTAGAACTGGCTGGAAAGAGAATTGATTGCTAAATTTTCAATGTCAGCTGTTACACTTCAGAAACCAGCAAATACCAGCAAATCAGGGCTTGATTTGTTATTTTGTATGCTGTCTTGATTTAAGAAAGCGATGAGGAAGATGTTAATAATGCAAATAAAGTTGAAAGTGTGTCATGTACACATTTCCCCTCTCCCCCTGCCCCAAGCCAATTGTTAAACATTTACCAGCAAACCCCTGCTTTGAATACACCAGTATAAGGTTAAACTGAAGGGATGGTGGAATTCTTTTGGAATCAGAGACAGCAGTCATAGTTATTCACCAGTTGCTCTAGCTGTCCTTATCTGTAGATCACTACTCCTCTAGTGGGTGAGGAGGCCTGGTCTGACCATCCCACATCAGACTTTCCTCTAAAACCCTTCTCTGCTTGGTCCATTCTTAATGAGATTTTTTGAATCCAAACTTAGCAAGAATTGTTTTCAAGGGTCAGTGAATTACTGTAATCCTAAGCAGGGAGACAATTCACTGTGTCATAGCTGCCAAAACATTGAATACCATCACAGGCTCCCATAATAGAAGCACAGTGTCCATAGTTAGGGTGACCCAACTGTATTCTGTTCTGGTCAGATCACATCTGGAATGTTGTATCCATCTCTGGGTATCATATTTTTAGAAGGACATTGACAAGATAGTGTGAGAACTATTGACAAATAGAAACATGTCCAGAGGCAAGTGACCAGGATCTTGAAGAATTTAAAACTATAGAAAAAACAAAACAACAACAACAACAAAAAAACTAGGATATTTGGCCTGGAGAAGAAAAAACGAAGAAGAGACGGTGATCTTCAAGTACAAAAAGGTCTGCCTCTCAGAAGACAGGTTACTTTTGCTTTGCTTGGCCCCAGAGGTCAGAACTAGGGTAAGTCAATGAGTGGAAGTTTTAGAGTAGAAGATAGTTCAATATAAGAAAGGAAATGTTTCCTAAAAATTAGGGCTGCCTCAAAGTGGGATGAGATACCCCAAGAGGCAGCCCATTCTCCATTACTAGAGATGTCCAAGTATAGATTAGATGGCCACTTGTTGAGAATGTTAAAGATGAGATTCCTACCTCAGATATGTAGTGGACTCAATGACCTCTGAGGCCTCTCTTAGCTCTGGGATCTTATGAAAGAGAGAGAGAGAGAGAGAGAGAGAGAGAGAGAGAGAGAGAGAGAGAGAGAGGGAGAGAGAGAGAGACAGAGTGAGGCAGAGAGACACACACAGAGAAAGAGAGAGAAAGAGAGGAAGAGAGAGAGAGAGAGAGAGAGAGAGAGAGAGAGAGAGAGAGAGAGAGAGAGAGAGAGAGACAGGGACAGAGAGAGACAGAGACAGGGACAGAGAGAGACAGAGAGAGAGAGAGAGAGAGAGAGAGACAGAGTGAGGCGGAGAGAGAGACACACACAGAGAAAGAGAGAGAAGAGAGGAGAGAGAGAGAGAGAGAAGAGAGAAGAGAGAGAGAGAGAGAGACAGAGTGAGGCGGAGAGAGAGACACACACAGAGAAAGAGAGAGAAAGAGAGGAAGAGAGAGAGAGAGAGAGAGAGAGAGAGAGAGAGAGAGAGAGAGAGAGAGAGAGAGAGAGAGAGAGAGACAGGGACAGAGAGAGACAGAGACAGGGACAGAGAGAGACAGAGAGAGAGGGGAAGAGGGGAAGAGAGAGAACGGATAGAAAGACAGATGATAGACAATAAATTTTATTGAGATGATAGAGCATTTATGAAGCACTTACTATGTGTGCAGCTATGATAAGTAATGGGTATACAAATACTGTTAAAAAAAAAAAAGATAGTCCTTATCATCAATGAACTTATATTCTAATACAGAAAGACAATACACAAAGGGGATCTGGGGAGCAGGGAGGAGATGGGAGGGGAGGACAGAGTGCTCAAGGTGGCTTGTAAACAGGTGGGAAAGCCCAGGCATGTCTCTGGGTTAAGTCAGGAATGCTGGGGACCCTCATAGAATGATGGTCTGGGCAAGGGGGTCACCAGGTGGAAGAGCAAGGCCTTGGGGTAGTTTCTTCAGGGGAATTAAGGGGGAAATAGATGTTGTGCCAAGGGGCAATTTGCCTTGTAGTTTTTCTGCTCCCACCAAAGACTTCCCTCTGCCCCCTGTCTCTTGGCCATCTGGGATAGGAGTAATATCCTAACCTCTACCCCTAAACGAGTTCTGCGCCCAGAAAGGGAAACAAAGGCAGAAAGTGGCCAGGAATTTGAAGTCCAAGAACACCTCTCAAGCCACCTGGACAAGGATTTGAAGGTCAGCATATGCTTCCTGCTCTTGGGGTGGGGGTAGAGAGAGATAAATTCTCCCCCTTACCCCCACCCCCCAATTCTCTACTCAAACAAAGGCACAAGAGAAAAGGCAAAAAAGGATGAAAACCATCTAGCAGCTAGGTAACACAGTGAATAGAAATGTACCTGGAGTCAGGAAGCCTTGAGTTCAAATCCTGCCTCAAATACTAGCTGTGTGACTCTGGCTAAGTCATTTAACCTCATTCAGCCTCAGTTTCCTCATCTATAAAATGAGGATAATAATACCACCACATATAAAGCTCTTTGCAAACCTTACAATTCTGGATAAGTAGTAGCTATTAGTGGGGTGACTCCTCTGACGAGAGTTCATTCTTCCCAGAGCCCTAGCTAACCAGATCATCTTGGAGACAGCTCTAGTGCTATCGCTTAATTGGGACAAGTTCCTTGTTCTCCCAGCAAGGCTCCAGTGGTCCATTGGTACTTGAAGATAATGTTTGGGAAGTGCTTAGTACAATACCTAGCACATAAAAGGCATTAAATAAATTTTTGTCCTTTCCCCTCTCTATGGGGTGATGCCAACAGATGCCCCAAAGGTGCATTATCCTGTAAGCTCATCAAATTGAATGGGGGAGCTTATCAACCATCCCCTGACATTGATATCTTCCCCATCTCCTATCCCTAGAAGGGTCCCCCATCACTTCCCACCACAGAACCAACTCATTTACAATGAATTCAAGATCAGTTCCTATTAAAATTCGGGATACATCTGGGCCACCTTCTGTCGGTAAGCAATGAGTGCATAAGGACTTAAAATTCATTTTACAGTTTCCGTGTGAAGGAATTGGTGCAACTTTGTGAAGTATTTTTTTGTCCACATGCAAGGACGTTCTGGGTCCCCAGAGAGCCATCATTCTTCCAGCATGACAGAGTGTGGCTTGGAGCTGTTGCTAAGAAAGGAAGCTTAGCAAAGAGGAATTTTAACATGGCACTCCCAGCTCCGGATGTTCCAACTCCTGTGTTTCTGCTAGCCCATTTGTAGACATGGATTGTCTACTTGGACTTGAACTGGGTCCCTCTGGCTTTCAGCCTTCCTTGAATCCTCTGTCTATTTCTCTGAGATAGTGGGAAAAGACCAGCTGGGAGTTCTTGTTTAATGCCTTAATCCTGGTTCTTTCTCATCTTATTTAGTCCAGGGTTGAAAATATAAATGTTATAACTTATTTTAATTGCATTTCTGCCCTGACGCCCTCTCCCTGGATTCCCACTTTGACCTCATCTCTGTTTCTACTTGTGTGACCCAAAAGGACTACCTACTGTTATAGATTATCCTACGTTAAATGAATGGCATTGAAAAGAAAAGACACTACATTAAACCTTGGAGTGGCTGAGTATAATGTTCTCTGGTAAAAGTCTGGAATCTCCACTTTCCAACTACTTCCACTAAGAGCTGAGTTCCTAATTTTGA